TTTTTTTTGTATACAAATTTGTATATTTCTTAATTTATCTTGTTAATTATGCAATAATTGTGAAACTACCTTATTGTTGTTTTTTCACATATTCTGGTTACATCCGCTGAATTCTCTTTTACTGTTTAAGCATGCGCAAATGTTATAATTGTACATTTTGTATGTTTTGCATGTATGTATTATTGTTTGCATTTTTCCATTGCAATTGATGCATGTTTTTGTACATTTTTTATTTTTTTTTTTTTAATTTTTTTAATGTTGTTTGTTGTTTTCTACATTAAATTCTATAATATTTTTATGCTGCAATTAATGTATTTTAAAATGTTAGACTGTAGCAAATGGCATGTTGCATCTATGTATGTGTGGGGTTTGAGGAGTTGCTATGGTTAATTTTGGTAGTGGTGGAAAAGAGATAAACTTCAAGTTATATTTTTAAATTTTATTTTATTTTTGCTAATATATATTTTTAAGAAGTAAGTTATCATAAACTATCAAATTATTAGTTAAATACACTCTTGTTTTTAATTTCCAACGTAATTTCGCCGTTGAGTGTCGTATATGTGAATAATAACTTTACTTACTACTCAGTTGATAATTTTATAAATTAATTAATTTAGTTATTTTTTTAACTGTTGCCCTACGGGAGCGGGAGTATCTTTTAGTATTTAATTTTTTAGTTATAAAATTTTTTTTAGTTTATTTTTTAACTTTAAACACACTAATTATACTTTTTGAGATTATAAAAAATACTAAAGTTTAATTTTAGTTATTTTCTATATTTTTCTTCTCATTTGGTATAACTATTTTTCATAGTTTAATTTATATTTATACTCTTTTCATAGTAATAATAATAATAATAATAATAATATTATATAATATAATTGTATATAATATGTGTATATATGTGTGTGTATAAATTTTTTTGGGGGATTTTAAGTGTATTTGTATTTTTTAATATTAATTTTCTATGCATTGTTTATAAAAGTTTTAGTTATTTATATTATTAATACATGTGTGTTTAATTATTTTTAAGATATTTGCAAAAAAATCTAACAAATATGAAGAACTAATTGATTTTTTGCTAAATAAAAATTTTGAAGGGTTTATTCTTTCTAATACTATATATGTGTGTGTTTCTATTTGTAATCAGCTTAATTTTATATAGAAATTACCTGTATTTGTGTTTTTACAAAATAGTTTAAATAGCTTAACGCTGCCAGTTGCGTTTTCACTTTCATTTCAAATTTATTTTTATTGTTCTTTTGAAAAAACATGATTTGATATTTTTTACGCATTTAAAGAGTCTGCACTTATTGTGTTGATTATAAGATAATTGATTTCACTAAAATTTGCAAAATTATCATTTGCATTGTATGGCTATTTGTTGATTAAGCTGGTTAGTTGAAAGCCTCGGTTGGAAAGTTATGAGTGAATAAACTCAACGAATAAAAATTGCAACAATTTTTTAAGTACAATAGGACTAAATAAAATAAAGTGATATAAAAAAAAAAAAATAAAATACAATAAAATATAATAAAATAAAATAATATAAGAAAATAAAATAGAATAAAGTAAAATAAAATAAAGTCAATTAAAGAAAAATAACTTAACCAAGTTATTATTTTTTTTTCAAATGATTAATATTTACAAAATTGGTCAAACATAAAGAAACAATGTAATTTTAATAGCATACAAATAATAAAACAACCAAGATTGCATATTTTTGGCAATTAATTGATTAATTAATTATTTTTATATATATTTGATTTATTATTATTACGCTATATAATTATGTAAATAATAGATTGATAATATAATTATAATAATGAACTAATAATGATAATAATAATAATAAAAGTAAAAATAATGATAAAAATAATCGTAACGAAAATATGACAACAATAACATTTGCTCCATAATATAAATATGTAATTATATATGTATGTATATATACATTATATATATATATTGAAATTAGTTTATTTATTGATTTATTTATTTACTTTTCTTTCACGTTTTTTTCACTTAAAAATTATTTAAATTCGAATTTTTGTGTTAGATTTTCAATTATTCTTCGCATTTTCTCTCTTTTGGTTTTGTTGTTGTTGCTTAAAAGCTATAGTGCTAAAAAGTCCACTGCTTCTACTCCTCAAATATTTAGTAATTTTTCCCCAATAAACTACAACTACTTCCTTTACTTCTTTCATTAAATTCTAAGCGCTTCTACGTCTCATTACTACTAATTACCATTACTAGTACCCCTTGCACGCTAAGGTCATGTTTTGTCAGCTCTCTCTCATTTTCAGCGGCATATTCGCACTTCGAAAAGCTTTCATTCAGTATCCTCTTTTATATGTTTGTATGTTGCAAAAGTTCAACATTAGCTTCAACAAGTTTAATTAATTCTTTATATTTGTTAATATTTTTAATTATTTATTTTTTGTAATATCTTTTTTTTTCTACCGTCTTGCGAACTGACTTGTTTTTTTTGACCCACCCTAATGTGTATATATAATATATGTGTATGTGTGTGTGTTTGAGAATTGTTTGGTATATATGTGGCGCTGCAATTAGTCAAACAATGTTCCAATGTGTTATGCAGCTTAAGTGTCTGTATGTATTAAAAAGCGTTTGTTTTACGTCTACAGACTTCTGCTTTTAATTTGTAGAATATCATACATATGTGTGTGTTCATGTACCAAATATTATTACAGGGCCTACATATCGCGAGTTATGAAATCACCAAGAAAGCATTCCTTGTATGAAAGCGACCAAATTGTTATGGTGAAAGAAGATAGAAAGAGAGAGAGAGCAGGAGAAGAGAGAGCGAGAGAATATAAGCGTTGTAAGAGTTTCAGTTTCAACAAAAATTTTACGCTTATAAAGCCAAATTAATCATAATACCGGTGAAAGGTTAACTCAAGCTCTTATTGTCCAATTCAAAGAGCGAAAACAAACTAAGGAATAAACAAGAGGAAAAAAATTTCTTTGTAAATATTTTGTACGAAACTGCTACTAAATCTTGCTTACGCCAATTTTTCCAAACCAAGCAATTTTATTTAATTAAGGCGTTCCTTAAAACTTAAAAAAAAAATAGCTGCATAAAGTATTCTATTTTTGCTAACAGAATTTTCTTAATTTCTTACTCTATCAGCTGATTTTTCCATTTGCTCTTTTAAGTGAGTGATTTCCTCCCTCTCCAACTCTCTTTCCACATATTTTTATCAATATTCTGATATAAATTCGTCTTCCAAGCATAATTTTTCTCCTTCCATCGCTTAAAAAATCAACGCGTTATTTTTCTTAAGACTCAAAAATCTCTCTCTCGTTGCTGCTGCTCCTGAATAAATGTTCACACTCACTCTCCTCTCTATCGATCAACTGCCCTGTATATTATTCATGTACACAACTTTCAAATTTTAAATCTTTTTTGTTTTTTCTTTTTCTTGTTGTCTCTTCTTCTTCTGTTGTATTTCGTTTAATTGATATTGTGGAACTTTAAGGCTTGTAATCTCAACGTTTTTGTGGAACTTTGTTTTTGTTTTTTATTACAAACTGTGGAAAAAATATTTTCCAACTTACTTTTTTTAACCATCATTCTCTACTACTTCTTTAATATGTATTTGTATGTATGTATGCTTCGTCGAGTTGCTACAAATTCGCGCTTGTTAATAAGTATGTACATATGTACTTGTGTGTACATATAGAATACTATTTTTCACTACATGCATCGCATTATTTTCAAAACTGTTTTTGTATTTTGTAATAAATTTTAAATAATTATTATTGATTTAGTTTTCTTGCGCACGTTGGCGGCACTATTTTAAATTTATTTAATATTTGTTTGTTTATTTTTTTAGGCTGCTTTACTAAATTTTTTCTTGTTCTCTAATTTTAATAAATTCCCATTATGATTCTTTCTGGTTGTTTTTCTTTTACCTTAATTTTTTTATTTTTTGTTAATAATGTATGCATTTAACGCATTTATTTGTTTTTGTTTGCGTTAATGAAGTATATAATATATTTTTTTTTTAAATTTTTTTAATTTTAAATTTTGTATAAAAATTATTTTTTTTTGGGGTTTTTAAATTTTTATGTTTAATTACTTTATTTGTAATTCAGTATTTGGTTTTGTCTAAATTTGTTGTTGTTGTATTTTTGAAAACCCAGAACAACTCAGTTTTCACGGTATTTTGTTTGCATATTTACCAGTCAGCTTTTGTCGCATGTAGTTGTTGTTGCTGTTCAATGAATTTGTGTGTGTGTGTGTGTGATAATATATATAGTAGTGGTATGTAGTTAATTAATTGATTAGTTATTTTATTCAACTATTGTTGTAGTATGCTGTAAGTATGTTTGTATGTACGCATTGATAAATCTATGTATGTCTCAAAAGTTTTTATTTTTTGCCTTTGCAATAATATAATTATCAATTTTAAATTTATGTGTTCGTCGTGTGCACTTAAAAAATGTTTATTAACAAACTTTCAAATGTATGGCTTTGAAAATTTAAAAAAAGGAAATTCTCGTTTATAAAGAGACAAATTTACTTAGTTCTTTTTTTATATGCGGTTTGTTTGTTTGTTTTGTATTAAACATTTTGCATTGCGTTAAAGTTAATTAATAAATATATTTATCATATATAAGTATATAGATATATGTGTGTATAAGGTATATGCATGTGTTTGTATATATATCTACGATATTATTTGTTATTTTATTTTTTTTTTTTTTTGGTTTTGTTGTATGCTAAATTTTGTTTTTGTTTTGGCAAAAATTGTTCAACTCCTTCTTTGTTGACATCCATTGTTTTTTTTTTTCTACACGTACACGCATATTCGTTAGCGGTAATGTTCAGTTCTAAATTTTTGTGTTAATATAATATATGTATGTATGTATATTTTTTTTTTTTTGGGGAATTTTGCATATACTTAAATGTGTATGTAATATTCATTTTCTTAATTTTTTATAACAATATTTTGTTGCTCATCGACGTCTCGAAAACATAAATAAATAAATTCCACTTTACACTAATTTGCTTGTGTGTATGTATGTGGTTGTATTGAAATCAATTGATTACAGGAGCTTTGCTTTGGTAAAAGCTAATGTTCTGTTTCGGATCGGTTTGCCTGGTTAGTTGATAGGAAGCTGGATTTACATCATCGGGTAAGACATTTTATTTCTTCAACTGCTCCGTAGTTGTTCGGCTTTTGTTTCTACGTAGTCGGTTAGCTGACCTAAGAAAGTGTAAGACTAAAATATTGTCAATATGTTTTTGCATAGGTTAATATTAAGATAGAGCAATGTGAAGTAAAGACTATTTAAATAATTAAAAAAAAAAAAAATATATTAGCTGAGAAGTCTTTCACTGTTTTTAAAATGCCGAAGCACAATTCACAAATATAAAAGCTCTTTAAATATATGAAAGTTCTTTAAAAAATATGAAATCTTTGGAAGACACTTGAAAGCTCTTTGAGAAATATTAAAGGTTCTGTTGAAACATTTTTTTGCATTACAACTTTACTAAGGGTTTATTTTGTTATGTAACCTTTCTCAATATGTAGTAAGGAATACATATACGCATATTTTGCGTATAAAAGTCAATTAATTAATTAATTATTAATAGTAATAAGTTCTGCTTGTGATGTAAGCTGGCTTCTATTCACCAATGCTTTTAAAAATACCTTAAATGATGAAAAGTAAGCAAAATAAAAGTTATACGAAAGCTCTTAAATAATTAATGAAAGCTCTGTTGTTATTAAAAATAAGTTCTTTAAATCATGGTTTTATAATTAAAATATTTTACGTAATGAAAATAAAATATAAAAATTACATGTAATTAATAATAACAGAAAGCTCTTCTCGTTTCAAAAGCTGCGGCTTTCATATTTCTCTAAATTGAATTGCTTGTTTATTGACTCAATAAGATATAAGATAATAAAAGTTTTGACTTAATTTCCTTTAATATTTCTACTCACCTCAATAAATTTGTTTGTTGTCCATTGCTGCTGCAGGATTTCACTAGGATATTTATTTATTGTAAACTTGCACATATGTTATATTCAGTGGATTTATGGTACGGTATAATAATTTGTAGATATTATTTAATTTATTTTAATTGGAATCTGTTGACTACACTACTACTGCTGCTGCTGCTGCTCCGTTTCTTCGTTCGCTTGCTGCTGGGTGTTTCTGCTGCTGACAGTTTTCTGCATGCATAAACCTTTGCTTGCTGCACATTTGTTTGAATACAGCTTTGTTTTAATTTTTTTTTCAATTTTGTTCTATTTTATATAGAGATTTTTTTGGTTATATATTTTTTAAATATATATTTTTATGTTTTTTTTGTTGCCCTTGATTTTTTGTTTTACTGTTTCATCATTATTTTCGCAAGAAGTAATCGTTTGTAATTGTTAATGTTGTGTAACGCTTTAAGGAACTCCGATTGTTAATAGGGTCGGCTGGCATCCTTTGGCCGCTTCAGTTGAACTTTCAGTCTTTTCATGCCAATCTGGAAGCCATTCATTGCCTGAATGGCCGCTTGAGCGCTGGCAGGATTATCGAATGAAACAAAACCTGCAAGTTAAATGAAAAAAAAATAATAATAATTTATTTAAAAAAACAAGCGACACATGATAGAGTATTGTACTTACCAAAACATTTACTCTGATTTGTAGCCCGATCAATGAAGACCTTTGAACTGATCACATTACCGAACGGCAGGAACATCTGCATCAATTCCGCATCGCCGAACTCTTGCGGCAAATGGTATATGAATAGATTACAACCCTCCGGTCCGGAAATCGAACATCCTGGGAACATCAGAAAATCTTAAAGAAGACATTACAAAAAAGAAAAGAAAGAAAGAAATAAACGATGAGAAAATCAAAAGTGAATAATTTATGAATTTGTGATTTGTGATGCTGAGACTTAAGTAAATTGAATTGAATTGAATTGAATTAACTTGAAAACGGATCATACGTAAGGAATTAAAGATAGTAAAACAAATTATAATTCAATGAAAAATATAAAAATTATTGAATAATAGTAATATTACATATGTATGCATGTATGTGTGTGTTGTTCAAATGTATGAAACGATATATATAGAAATAATTGAATTTAAGCTTATGCAATGTTTTGATAATATATAATTATTATAATCATAATTAAAATATAAATAATAGAATCTAGTTGTGAATAAGTATTGTGTACACGTATTTATAGGGTTAGTCTTGGTAGAAAAAAAAAGAAACTATTCATGTGAAAGAAATAATAGAACTCGAGTATGCAAACACCTGCCAATAATATTCAATATTACAACAAAAAATCTTTTATTGGCCTAAAGTGTAAAATAAACAGCCAATGGAGAGCTTTGAAAATTCAATAAGACCTTTACAATTTGCATTAAAGCTGTTTCTTCTGCAGAAAAGCTGCGGGAACATTTTCTGCACTACTTTGAACGGTTTTTGAAAGCTTACACAGAATCTATTGACAATTATATGCATCACAATTTTCATTAGTCAGCCCCGCTTTTATGAGAAAACTTTGCGTGGAAAAAATTCTATTTAAATGGAAGTAACTTTTCTAAAGAAAAGATTTCGGTAAAAAACTTAACTAGAACACAAAAGTACATTAAGCAGAAATCTTTGAAATGCAAAGGTTGAAAGCATAAAAATATGTCTAATAAATCTTAAGCAGTTATAAAAGCTTTTATAGGCCCAATATTCAAGTCCCAGAAATATTAATAAATTCTTAAGTTATAAGGAGAAGATTTTTGGTTATTTTCTACATACTTGAGTTTTCTTATTTATTCATTATCGTCCGAAATGCTAGGCAACTATTGTTTTTATTTCAAAACGGTATTTTTTGCGACAATTCGTATTAAAAATAAAATAAAATAGTAATAATAAATAAGTAGAATCTGTGAGCACTTGCTTAAAAGCTTTTTATAAATGTGCTTATGTTTGTGTACGTCTCCAAAGCTGAAAAATAAATCTTAAGCTTTCTTTTAAGTACACAAATCGTGCGTTGTTTAAAAAAAAAATCAAGATGAAATAAATAAATAATTCAAAAGTACTAATATAAAGTGCTATAAAATATTTACAAAACATTTTTGGGGACTAGTATGTACTGTATATAAGTATGTAACTACATGAAGTGCTTCTAAGAGAAACACTAAAATTTACCATACATTCTTGTACAAATTTAATATTTCAATATTTAATCCATTACTTTTGAAATGTATGTATGTATATAGATATATGCTCATACCGATGCTTATGTAACTTTTAAACTATGTTATATACATACAGACACTACAGATACACATACTACGAGGAATTAAATGGAAAAACTTCAAGTAAAGGGTATCACATCCATTATTGTAGATGCAAGCAAAAGGTTGTTATACACACAGAAACATCAATTCATTTACATGCATTTATACAGTATATTTACTTTTACTTATTAAAGTGAAAAAAGTAAAATATAAAACCGGACAAAAGATGTGCACACCAGAAAAAATATGCCAATGCAGTAAATATCAATAACTACATATATTTGTATATGTATTTGTATTTTCATTTGTTTGGTAACAGTAAATAACGAATAAGATGCAAGTACATTAATAGAGGCACCACAGACAGCAGACTACAAATTCACCTATGTACATACATACAAACATACGCACATACATGAACATAGATAATTCAATTTTTATACAAAGATTTTCCATATTTTTACATATATCTATATAGTTCTAATTGTATGTTATTAAACCTTAAAATTTTTAATTCATAAAATTAATATAGGGGCGTATGCATTTAGCGAATATTTAGAGTGAGAGTGTTTGTGAAATTTTCTGAGATTATCTTAATTTTATGAAAGTTGAAAGTTATCTGCTTAAAAATCAGTTTTTTCATAAAATTTTAACTTCACATGAAACGTAAAAATACTCTTTAGGAAGATACACAAGCTAGGTGGCAAGTTAGTAGTAGTGTTTAAATTATCCTTAATCGTTGTACATCGGCTCTAGGCAACAGCCCGGAGTATTTACGGAGAAGTGCACGTATGCATCCTATGCAGGTAATATATCAGTGCTGGCAGTTAGCAGACAGATAATAATTCTACTTGATAATAGATTTTCGACTATGAATTTACTAAGCAATGTTCATTAAACAGGAGATGCAACAATCAGTTTAATGTGACTTAACCTAACCTCGCTCCTAGCTTTAAGAGTTAAATAACGACACTAAACTGAAATTTTTGGCGGAGCTCCATCTCAAAACATTTCAACGTTTATAAAGTGCTGAGTTATACATATATATTTTGCAGTGGATGTTTTCCCAATTTTTTATATTTGTTAGGTAAAAATTATAAAAACGATTTCTCGTATTTATGTATGTACATTTGTATATTTGATTGTGTTTTACTGACAAAAAACTATTAACATAAAACAGCTTTTATACTTAATTAAATAATCACATGTAAGTACATCCTTTTAATAAATATTTACAATTCATTACGAAAATGTATAATCCTCGGAAGAGTAAAGCTCACAAATCACAAAAAATACACAAATAAAGCAAATAAAATAAAAATTAAATGATGTGAAAGCAATTTCCTATATATAAAAAAAAAAAATAAAAATGAGCATTGATTTCTTTTTTGCGATATTTCATAATTTATTGTATAACACTATTATTATTTTAATACCAATTTTTGTTATAACCAATAACATTGTGCAGCACCCAAATCGGCATATATTAAAAATTACAGTAAAAGTGATTTAAGAAAATAATTTAAAATAACAAAATTACAAAAAAAAAAACAAAAAAATATTATAAAAAGAGAGCATCAATAAAAAAATGAAAAATAGTTGAAACAAAACCATGACATAATAAAAATAAAAACAAACAACATTTACTTGTACATTTAAAATCTGCTTACCTTCACGTTGAGTGGGTGCAACCGCCGCTAGTGGTGGTGGTAAAGCTTGTGGAAATTGTCCATAAACGGCGGGAAAGGCTGCATTATATAAATAATTTTTGTTGTTGGTTGGTTGTTGTAGTTTTGTTTTTTGATTTTGCGTTTTGTACACATACATATATTTAGATGAATATATATATATATAACAATATAGAGTAATCGGAACATTTATGAGACAACACAACGTTTACATGTATGAAGTTTATATATTATATATAAGTATGTATTTTTGAAATGAAACAAAAGAAAAACAAAACAAAACAGAAAAACACCGTAGTGGAGAAAAAACATTAAAATAACACAATATTAAATCAAAGTTAATTATTTCCAGCAATATTTATATACGTCTTGGTAAATACATAAATAAATATTGACAAATATTGATGTATAGTATATAATGTAATGAAAAAACAAAAAAAAAAATAGATTAATTAAACTTTATTTTCATATTAATAATAACCTTTTTTAATACACGTTCAATTAGTTATGTTAATACATAAATAGGAAATAAAAATAACAGCCATTACTTATGCGAGACATATGCCATATGCCAATAGGAAACTGCTAGCCATTGCTCACAGTTAGCAACTTATTTGTTTTTTTTTTTTTTGCAAAAATTTATATCGAATTTTTCCAAGAGCTATCAAACTTGAAAGCAACATAAATAAAATTTTAGGGTTGCTAAGGTTTCTATTGGGAGATCTAATATTTTTTTTGTGAAACTAATACTGGCTTTAAGATATTTTAGACATTTATAGATATTCAAGTGTAAATTTTTTACAATATAAGGTCTAATAAAAGCTTAAAGCTTGATAAGTGGTGGCTTCATTAGATTTAAGCTTAAAATTTTGAGATATATCAATTAATGATAAAATTTCTAAATTTTGGACATTGGATTGGGCAGGTTGCGAACGCAAGTTTGACCCTACGCATGACAGCATGTAGTCCAATTCATTTATAGCTTCATAAGAAATTTAAGCTCATATGAGCTTACACTAAATTAAAAATATGTTCCGTTTTCAGCCAAGCTTTTGGAAAGCTTAAAAAAAAAGATATAACATTATTAGTAATTTTTATTTTTATGTCTTCCTTCACAGCATGACTGTTATTTTTATTTTACGAAATATGTTTCGTAACTTTTTTAAATAAATATTATTGTTAAACCATTTAAACATTTAACAGCAATACTGAAATATTCTTTACATTAGTTTAAACAAAAAATATATCAATAAGAAAACAAATATTTGAATCACAAATAGTTGGCAATTATTAACATAGAAAATATTTATTTTGTTTCTTAAAGAAAATAATAAAGGAAAATAAAAATAAATAAATAAAAAAATTCATGCGTTATTATATGAGGAGAAGTAGCTTTGTAGGAGAGAAATATTTTATGATTTAAAAAAATAATTTAAATTAAATTTATCATAACATTTGAGCACAATCTTCTCAGTTCATAAAAAATATCCCCTTCTCTGCTTTTTCTTCTCCCTTTCATATACTATAATAACGCTAAATAATAATAACGCATTAAAAAACTATGAAGAACAGAAAAAATGGACATTAAAACGGAAAGCGCGTAAATTTTTCATTTTATAACAACAATATATGATTTTTCATAAATATTGCGTAGGAGCTAACAATAAATATATTTATTATATTTATAACGTTTATATAAATTTTGTATGGCATGACACAACAATTGAGTAACAATGAATTAGAGAACGAGAAATGAGTGTGACTGACACAATTAAGTATAATATATATATAAAAAAATTAAACCATTTACAAATTCTTCATAATAACAACAAGAATTACATTTTATATAACTTGAAAAAAAAGAAATAAAATTAATAAAGAAAAGATTATATGAGCAAATTAAAAAGTAGTTTAAAACTTAAACTAATAAAAGCTACGAGTGGTAAGAAAAAAAAAGAAAATAAATATATGAAAATAAAAGGCTCAAAGCAAGAAAAATTTGTATTGGCAGAAAAATTTAATCATGGAGTGATGGACGAAAACTTAAATTAACTATGACATTTCAAATGTTTAACTTAAAAAACGTTTGTTTCACAAAAATAAGCTAAAAATAATATCACTTATTCACTATTTTTATTACATAAGTAAATAACAATAAAGATAATTGATTTTTTCTAACTGCCTTGAAACTAAAAGTCTTCTATTGTGAATAAAAAAATGCTTCCTTACTAAATAAATAGTAATAAAATATATTTTTTTAACCTTCTGCTTTAATGATTTATATATGAAATAAAACTTATATTAATTTTTGAAAGATTTTCAATTATAATTTCTAAATTGTTATGACTATATTGAACTTACCAACTCCTGGAAATGGTGGCATTCCAGTAAAGGCATGCTGTAAGGCAGCAGCATCACCATTTGGCAGACCTTGTGGTGGAATCGTTAAATGGAGTGGATCTAAAGAGAGAAAGTAGATTTCATTGAGTAAAAAATGTGTTATTTTTAATAACAAGCTTAATGGAAAGACCGGAGGTTAACAAACAAATTCTTTCAGTTTCGACAAACCAAGCTCTTCAAAAGTTTTACAATTGTCTCATCCCCCCACTCATTAATTTTGGCTTGACAAAAAAATGAAATTATCCTTTTTAGCTTGATTTTATTCAATTCGCTCTCAAAAGTCTAGCAGCTCCATTTCAACTCTGTCGGATACCCCCTCTAGAACTTGCCTTAATAAACCGCATAAGCGTTAAAAGTACTTGACAGGAATAAAGGAAGGTATATGTATTATATGTCCTCACATTGTCCTCATATTGTTTGGAAACGTTTTGGATAGAGAGGAGTTATAGTTGACGAAAACATCAAAGCAAGTTGTTGTTGGCCTCTAGGTTGCTTTAATAAATCACAAAAGCTTAACTGTTACTTAAAAATGAATAATTTCGAATAATTGTCCTCTTTCTTAAATTCTTGCCCCGTTTTACGCGGTACAAGAGCTTTCTCTTCATCGTTAACCTGAAACTTTCGAAAACTTACTTGCTGCCGATCTTTACGCAATTATTTGCTGTTTATGTCTCAGCTGAGTAGATATGTATGTATGCATGTACTTACGTCCTGGGAATGCCGTCTGCGGTATGCCATTCGTGAAGACACCATCAGCGGCGGCGGCAGCTGCTGCGGCCGCTGCAGCAGCGGGTTGTCCATTTGGCGTTTGAGCGCCCATATTGAAATTGGGCATGGTCGGTGAGGGTAACGATGGCTGACCGGTGCCATTTAAGCCATGAGGTATTTGCGTTGCCAACGCGGCCATCGGATTCATATATGAGCCGGGTGCAGTGGCAGCGGCGGCCATTAAAGCGGCTTGCTGTTGCTATTTGATAGTTGTAAAACAAAAAAGGACAGTTAAGAAAAACTCAGCTTAAAATGAAATAAAAGAACCAACAATGCAAAGTTATATACATATGTATGTACGAATAGTATAAGCTTTTATAATGGCTGAATAACGGAAATGCTAAAGTATGCAGATGATGAAGTTGTGCGCATAAATAAGGCGAGCAATTGGCGGTTGCCGGAATGCGCACAATTGAGGGCGAGCATCATCAGCAGACGGGTCAATGCGGCAGTAGTGGTGTTGATGATGGTGATGGTGGTATTGCTGAGCGCGACGGAAGTGGTTAACGGTATGTGAGAAGCGAACAGTGCTAGAGCTGTTGGTCTCGGTATTGTTGATGTTGGTGTTGGTCATGACTCGCGTGGAGCGACGTAACGTGGCTGCGTGTTAAAATGATGGTTGAGTAGTTGCAGTTGAAATTGGTTTCGCAACAAAAGTAGCAATAAAAAGGTACAATTTACGATGCGAACCCTCTTGTTGTGAAAAGTGAGCGGTGGAGGTGAGGTGGCACACAAAGGCTAAAAGCTCGGACACACATCAACGCAAATGTCATCGTTGTTTAATGCATTTTACGTGACGCTGATTTTTACTAAAGTTGTTGCATGATTGTTGTACTTGTTGTTGTTATTGCAACCATTATTGCCATTTGCTCTCCCACTGATTATGCGCTGTTCTTGTATTGTTGCAGACGCTATATTTTTTGCAATAAAATTGCGCGCAGCCTTTTGTTTTGATATTTTATGTGCCTGAACAACAAACACAACAAAAAAACAGCGACGAGACCGTAAGTAGTTAAAAACAGACGAAAATCAAACAACAAGTAACATTAACAATAAAAGTAAGTGGAAAACAATGCACACAAAAACAACAACTACAACAAAAAATGAAATCAATTACGCTGCATTGTTTTATGTAAAGATTTTTTATTGCTGTAACGTTTTTTTTTTGCACAATATTATCCTTCTTTTGTCCGCTTTTTAATCCTTTTTTTTGTATTTTTTTTTTAATATTTTTTCGTTGCCTCTTTTTTCATATACGTATTTTCCATTATCATCTGTATTGTGCTTGTGTAATATCGTTACTTAACCATCAATGCGATGCGCACTTATGGCTTTGCTTATACATATATATACATACATATGTACATGCGCATATATTTGTTTGTTGATTTTACGTTGCCTACTTACCTGCGCATAAGCTCCATATGGTCCAAATTGATTAAAGACAAAGGGATTAAGTAAATTCATATGACCCGCCATTTGTTGCATACGTCGTATCTGTCGTTCCTTCTCAGTATCGGCAAATTTCACAACAAGACTGGAGGAAGCTCCCTGTGTGTTCGTTGGTAGTGGTGGTGATGGATGGTGGACATGTAAATAAATAAAAGAAAGAGCAAAGATTAAAAATGTGTTTCATAACAAATAATATATATTGAAGCATATATGTTTGTACGTTTGTTTCTGGAAGTTGAAAATAATATAATATCAAGATATATTGCATAAAAAGCTTAATGCAAATTAATAAAAAGCACGCGCTTAAGTTCAACTGAGTCGACTTGATAGCACGCGGAGTGCCAACAATTGTTTTTGCTTGCTGGTGTTGGCATTTCAATTTATTTTCATTTAAGACGTAGGGATTTCGCCGTAACTATTTTTTTTTTGGTAATGCTTTCGAAGGGATGAAAGACTTACTGCAATTCTCACTTCTTATACATACTGAAACGTTCTATTTATTTATTTATTTCAAAAATCTTGTCCAAACCTAAGACCCAGAAAGTTTTTTATTTGCTCACTCTGAAGCTTTCATTTTGAGTTTTAATAAGCTTCCACCCACTTGAATCACTTTTAAGAATGGTTTACTTCAAAGCTTTCAATTTAAAGTCCTTTTACATTTTTTTAGAAATTTATATATTTGTAATTAAAATGTTTATTTAAATCTTCTTAAGATCACTGCTAAAAGCAGAATTCGTCATAGTAAAGGTTTTCTACGTGAAAGTTTTTGTATTTACTTTTTACGAAAATCTAACAAGAGAGCTTTTCCTATTCGATGAAATCACTGGAGATTTAAAACAAAAAAATTGTTGTAATATATTTTGATATTCTCTTTTTAATGGAATTTTTGGAAAACTCTTACTTCTTTGCTTTTTGTGTATTTATTTCTGCTAGAGACTCTTACATTATTATGTTGGATGAGTGCATAAGTTCGTGCCCGATTCCGCTGGATGCCGTTCGAATCGTTTGAGAGTGGCGCTCGTGAAAGAAATATATACATATTATATATCGTTGGAAAGGTGACAGTCTGAACTGTAAATCAAACATAAAATAACTTCATTTTGATTTGAGTTGCTTAGTGAAAAGACGCATGGAAGATGGACAACGAAATAGATCATATGCGTCATATTATGTTATACGAATTCCGCAAAGGAAAAACAGTAGGCGCTGCAACTAAAATTTCGGTCTGGAGATTTTAACCTCGAAGATCAACCTCGCAGTGGACGGCCTTCTGAGCTTGATGACGATGTTCTAAGGACTTTAGTTGCGAATAACTCACGTATTTTGACGAAAGAGGTTGCCAGTGAATTGAACGTCAACAAATCAACTGCGTTTCGTCGTTTAAAAAAGGTTGGGTACACTTTGAAGCTCGATACATGGGTGCCACATGAGTTGAGTGAAAAAAACAAAATGGACCTTATGTCAACAGCAATTTCTTTGCTTCGACGGATCAAAAACGAACCTTTTTATTATCATTTGTTTCGATCGCTGCAGAACAATTTGAATGGAAAAAAATTTAAAAATGTGGAAGACGTCAAAAACCACCTTGACACCTTTTTCAACGAGAAACCGCGCGATTTCTATGAATCAGGCATCCGTAAATTGGTTGAACGTTGGGTGTGGATTGCCGAACATGATGGCGAATACATAATTGATTAATAAAAGCGCTTTCTTCAAAAAATTTCAGTTTTAGTTTGCACTTGAAATGGGGCATGAACTTATGCACTCATCCAAAAGTAAGCATGAGAGATTTACAAAAATTCTTATGGTTCCAAAATGTATTGAAAGTGTAATGAACTTTCTCGAAATCAAGTGAAATTCGTGAAATAAGTCTAAAAGCTTTCACAATTTTTATTCCATAAACTTTTTCAAGAAAAATAAGCTTTCATATTCTATACTGCGTTAATGCTTAAAGCTCGTTTACACAGAATTCATGTTCACTAAGCACTTTCTGGTGCTTACACACAATTTTATAAGCTTTCAGATTTTTTTCTTTAAGCTTTTGTACTCGAATGTACGTATTAAAAACTGCTTAGAACTTTTCCGCACGCATGGTTGCTTTTACGGAAGCTTTGAGCCTTTCGAGTAATTTCATGGCTTTAAAAAAAATGGTCAAGGATAAATATATAAGTTTTTTTAAAAATATGTTACCTGCCAGTTTAGTTTTACTTTCGCTTAGCTTTCAAACGGTGTTCCTCAAACTTTCCAATTATCTCATAAATTTCTCCTTTAATACTCAGAGCTTTTTTCTTAATAAATTTAATTAGAGGATAAATTCTTGGAATTCATTTCAATATCAACAATATATATTTGTACTTATTTGCGTATACATACATGTGCATAGAGTGCGTGAACGCTGTGGGAGGCTTATAAATAACAAATTAAATAAAAAAAAATACAACAAGAACTCACAGCAACTTAATATCCTTGTCATATGTACATTGATTAATGTGTATTGTGAAAATCCTCCTTTGGCAATACAATAGCCGCTTTTAATTACAACGGAACAACAACAATAACAATAGGCAAGTGTGACAGTAATGACAGTAAATTCAATCGCATAATTATAACTGAAATGCGAACAAACACACGCATTAATTACGAGAATGAGTGTTCAATAATATATATGCGAAGTAGATGTAGATATGTATGTATGTTTGCATGTGTGTAAAAAGGCGCTGTTGCAAATTTTGTCATTGATTTGTGCAAAAATTTCTATAGATCGGCAGAGAGAGAGAGAGAGAGAGAGAGAGAGAGAGCGAGGGTGTGAGAGAGAATGAGTTTGCAATTACGACGCACAATTTCGCCGTAGAGTGTAAATATAGACATGTGTGTGTTAGGCTGTACACGTACTTTAGTGAGTGTGAGTGTCAAGTTGCAACACTGTGCGCCGTGTGCTATGCTATTATTATGCTAATTAATAGACAAAATGTCATATAGTATATATGAAGAGCAAGGGAAGGTATCAGAAAATTTACATTTCCACAAACTCGCATATGTATATACACACATATATATGGTGTATATTTGCTTGTAAGCGTTTACACTACTAACGAACGAAAACTGAAGACAGTCATTTTGTAATCATTTATTTCTATTCGATTTCAAAGGCGAAGCGGTGAGGCAGGATGCTGGTGTGGGAAGAGTTTTGGTGGCTCTGCAGGGGTTCAAGTGTGTTTTCGCAGCAAACGTTAAATTTACTCAGCCTCACTTCCAGTTATAAATATGTACATACGCACATATGTACTTGCATAGTATATAAGCGGCTTACGAAAATGAAATACAAAAGCACTCACTATGCAATTATTTTGATATTTATTTAAAAATAAATAATAATAATAATATTTCATGCTGCCACACCCAGCTGTAGTATATCGACATATGTATGTATGTAGGTAGATTTGAAGATACTCGTCTATATAATATTCAGGTTATAAAAGCATTGCTGTATTTATTTGTATACGGAAAAAATAAATATATTTATGCTATTGTATGTAGATTAAACATATGTGTGCTTTTCACTTTTATTTATGTATTTGTTAGTCTCCTACACATACACATATTCACATACTGTACATACACATGCATATATTTAAGTATTTATTTTGTATTGCATACTTCAAGGCGCACCCACGCAGTGACAAAACATTTATTTGCAAGAAAATAGCATATATATAATATAACAAATATTTTCATAAGCGCAAATGTGTATGTTTGTACATCTACTTTTCAAATGCATATGTTCACCATTTCACTTGTCATTCAACTATTTATTTTATGCTCCTCTTCGTTGTAGGTAAAAGAAAATTATAAGCGGATTTAATACTTACTTGCCTTTCAAATAACAATAAAGTATTTGCTCAGGGAGAAAAAACTTATTTGTATATATATACCTAAATAAATTCATATGTATGTATGAGCTGGTATAGATATTGTTGTGTGTTTGTTCAGCTTACTTTATTTTATAGAGAAAAAAGTTATTTCTTTTGAAGTTATGTTAGCGTGAAAGCTTATGCCCACATGATTTTCGCTTTTCAAAGTACATTTAAAGGATTTATTTATCTTTTTTTCCAATTGAAAAGAGTAATTTTTTAATTTTTTTTATTGTATTTCAAGCAAACAAATGTGTGAGAAAACTTTTAAACATGTTTCATATGTGAAAAATTCACATTGCTTTTAAATAAAAATAATATAAGAATGAAAAAATAAGAAATTTAAATTTAAAGAAAATATCAATATTTCATTTTCTTTACACAAACAAATTAATTCAGTTAAAATTTTTATTTTATTAGTTTAAATTTGTTGATTGAATCTAGCTTCGCCAGCATAATTTTTTTATAAATTACAAAAAAAAAAATATATAATATTTTGTTGTATTGCAGTCTCAGATACACAAAAAGCATACAACCTTAATATGTAAAAGAAAGGTGTGAAAATTATTATATTTGTAAATTTTTAAATTAAAAATTAAGAATTAAGTAAATACAAAAAATATAAATAAATAATTGAACATATAATTAAAGGTAAATAAAAGTAAAAATAAATAATAAATTGATAAATGAAGAACAAACCAGTAAATAAACAACAAATATATAAATAAAGAAGTAATTGAATAAATAAGTAAGAAATGAGCAAAAAATAAATTAGTTTAAATCAGTTTAAAAAAATTATAAAAAAAGTAAATATATTTTTATATAAATATATAACAAAAAGAATAAGCAATTAAAAAAATAAATGAATAAATACGAACAAAGAAAATGAAATAAATAATATAAATAAAAAATAATTTAGTTTTACTAATTATTACATATATAATATATAAAAGACTTTGTCCTGAGTGACTGACGGATCAACTCACAACATAAACCACTGATTGTACAGACATCAAGCTAGAAGAATATTTTTTCTTATAAGAACTTTCCCGGATATGAACATGGGACCGATTTGCTCAAAAAAATCTAATTTATTTATAAATCTTTCGATTTAGATGAAATTTCGTTCAGAAGTAGATATTTGTCTCAATTGACATAGGAAGCACATTTTCTTCCGGCAAACAAACC